AAACCTCAGTCTCTGCCAGCAAGACAGAAGTGTCCTCTGTCTCTTAAATATAGAGACATTTTCATGTACCTGGACATTTTCTTTTTCTATTGTCTCTTTTGTTGGGAATAACCCTGGATGTGGACTGACTGAAGTACAGAGATGTCTGGACTACTTGACCAGTGATGAACGGCTCCAGCAACAAACTCTTTTCTCATATTTTATTTGAAGGATGATGAAAACTGTTTGTCATGTCGATGTGAATTCAAAATCATGCAAATAATGGGAAGATCTGTGAACACATGTATGTGGATGCTCACTTTGACTCCCCCTGCGGTCAGAGGCATAGCAGCCCCTGAAATGTTTTAGTTATTTGACACCATTGAATCTACATAATATCCTTAAAGAACATGTGGTTTGATTGCCACAATATTTTCTTTCTCTCTTTTATCAGGGGGAGCACATTTTGTACTGTATTTTCAAAATGAGCAACTATATAAAATCGAAACTATATTTTTGTCACTTGCTGAGTTGGTCATCATGAACTGTAAACATTGTATATATATATAAATGAATATAGATAAATAAATGCATGCATAAATATGTGTTGTCATACTGAGTTAATTTCAGACTACAGGCCATAAGCGTCTGCCAATACTATGAAAAGGTGTTTATTCATGAGACAAACAACAAACTGTTATGTTTATCAGTATCTAAATGGGTTTTATGAAACTCATAGAGATGTTTGTGTTTCTCTTGTTCATGTTGTTCAGAGCTAAACTGGTTGACTAAATGCCCTTTATCTATGTCTCAGTCTGGCCTTATACATGCCTCTCTCTGTGCTCGGCCTGTGGAGCGTCATCACGGTTACAGGATCATGACGGTGTGGTAAATCTAGTCAGGTTAATCCAATTAATAAGAATAAGACATAACTAGGGATAAGAACACCAGAGTGTTGCAATTGTTATTTACCTTTTACTGGCTCAGAAAAGTGGACATTTGGCGTTTTATATTGAATGCAGACCCTTGATTATTCTAAAACAGATAAAGGAACAGTTGAGATTACATGGTGATGGTCGGATTAGATTTTAATAACAATTAAATATATAATATATAATTAATATAAAATAGGAACAACATGTGAAAGTATGGGAACAGGAGCTAACAAGGTTCAATCAAGTTTTTAGTCAAAACTGTCACGACCCGGCTCAAAAGGCCGCAATATGAGGGAGACAAGACGAGTGATAAAAGTAATAAATAGTCATTTATTTAATGAACTAACTAACAGAACTAAACTAAACAAACAACCAGCCAGGTCCTCCAAACAGGAGGCAGAGAGGAGATGCCCAGGGAGGAACCGTGCAGAGAGGCACCACAGCCAAAGAAGCGGGGCAGCCTTTGTAGCTGGGACCAACCCAGCAGGCTCAGGTGGGCTCGTTAGCTGCCGATCAACATCCTGAGAGGAAACAGACACAGACCCCTGGTGGAAGGGAGGGGTCATCACAAAACTAAAAAGAAAACCCAATAATAAATTACTCTACCATTCACACAGGGTTACCACTTTTGAGATTATTGAATAGTCTGTTTAGGTGTATGCATTGATAATAGTTTAGTTTAGCTTATTTATTATTCACAATTTAAACAATAAAATAAAAATAAACAAACATAACAGAGATAAATAAATATCACAGTGCAGGAAGAGGCAAAAAACCAACTGGGCTTATTTTAAGGCTAATAGCTTTATACATTCCTATTTTCTGGCCTAAAAGTGAAAAATAAGGCAATACAATTATATAAACTGAGAGGCTATACATTACATTATTATTTTAATTTGGTAAAATATTCTGTTAATAGCCAATGTTTAAATCAATAAATAGGGATACTTTATGGTAATATAGAATTTGTATATTATTTTTGCATTAATTTGAAGTTCTGTGATACTTCATCTTATTTAATTTGCTGGATTTGCGTAAAACAGATTCATGTCTGGTTATTTAATGCATTCACAATTTCTCAATTGATTTTCCAGAAAATCTAATATATATCACCATAAAAATTTCAATATCATGATGATACTACAAATACTGAATGCATGAATGAGGCAACACTCTGCACTCAGCGAACATTCAGTAAGAACAGGGACACCATGCAGCAGTGGAAGAGAGAGATCGGGGCTTGCTGCTAAAGTTATTTATTTCAGAGGGACTGATGTGGAAATTCACGGCTTTGGTTGTAGGGGTTGTAGAGGCCGAACATACCGGTTATAAAGTATACAATTTCCTCAAAATATTGTGACTTTATTCGCTGCTTCTCAGAGAGCACAAATATCTGGGATATGTTTTGAATTTGTGGAATGTTTTGAACATGAGCAAAAATCTTGCTATAACACATTATGAGCTTTTAAAGTCCAGGGGTTTTAATTAATTATTAGAGGTAACTTCCCCAAACAAAAGATACAAAAGAGTGAAAGATTGCCTGGCGTTAGATTCCAGGCCTCAATTATGTCCTCAATCCGGCCCTGAGAGTAGGGCTGGAGTAAATCCTAACTCACATTGAGCAAGAGGTGTGGTACAACTTGGACAGATCGCCAATCTATCACAGGGCTGAAACATATGGACAGAAAACCACAAAAACACTCAGTCAACAGTTATCATAGATTTTCTCTATGTGCCCATGCAAATCTTTGGCCCAACATAACAGCTGCACATACGAGCAGGGACAATAATTGCCATGGGTGTTTCTTGTACAGTGTGTACAGCCAGAAAGAACTACAGTTTTGCTACACTTTAAACTACTGTGATTCATCAAAAATAACAATAAACAAACACATGTGCATGCATGAATTTATTAGACTACATTTACAATTTCATAAGCATTTATAAAATATATGTACAATTGGTTAAGAAAATAAATCATGGACCCCCCCAAAAATAAAAGTCAATAAAGCGGAACCAAATAAGTGCTTTAGAGAGATGATGTTATTAGAAATATAAAACACTCCCTGCACTCATGGAGCCAACCGGATTGATTTCCTGCCAGATAACAAAGCACGTTCCGTTTATTGGTTTCGCAGTATCCTTTATTTTGACAGCAGAAATAACTGGTCCGGGTCACCGTGAGATAGAAAACTGATGGCTTTGTATATGGTGCAAGCTTGAAATACCATACTCAATTGTAGATGACTCGTAACCTGCAGTATTTCTTGGAAACCCTACTGTATGTAACCAAATGACACCACTGTCTGTATATACTTGTCATTAGTCCATGTGGAAAAAATCCATTTGAGTTGTTGAGATCCATTGGGGTTTAGGAAACAGAGGACACTTCTGTCTTGCTGGTAGAGACTGAGGTCTCATCCTCCACCATGCCACCCATTCCAATAGTGCTCAGCATACAGTTACGGAACTGAAAACAAAGTACAAATGTATGATTTAAATGAGGAATCATTGGACACTGAACAGTAACACTTTTTCAACAGTTGAATTATAAACTATGTGATTTATAACACTATCAAATCCTTGTAAACAGCTATAAGACCGCTGTAAGTGTTTACTAATGTATTTGTCAACATATATAATTCCTCCTGTGAAGTATTCCTAGTTGGTGTACGAACAGATGATGAATAATTGGCAATATAACATTACACAGTTGTAATAATATCAAATATGTCTGCACACTGTATATGAGTGTTTGTTGGTTATATTTGTTTAATGAAGTACTTCTTATAATTATATTTACAATGGCATATGTAATTATTTAGAAATGCATCTTTGCTCTCTTCACTCTCAACGACAACTAAGATGATTCAGTAAGTGGACATTGAGTCACACAACATCATGTCTTCATGTGTTTTGAACACTCTTATAAACTGTTTGCAGCCACTCTGTGAATGATTTGTAAATGTGTTAATAAATGTTTTATAGCACACTTTAAAGATTGGGTTTTTCAACATACAGAACATTATTAATTATGATTATGTTATACTGTATGTTGTACTCTTGTTTGTGTACTGCTGTAAGATAAGTTATAATTAGTGCAAATACATTAAAAAGTATGTCTCCTTCCATCTACATATAACACAAGGTAAATATGGGTTTTAAAGTGAAGTGTTACCATATTGGTTATACCATACCTGTTTGTTCATCAACACATAGATGATAGGATTGATCAATGCTGAGCTCTTTGAGAAGAAAGCAGGGATAGCCATGGATGCTGCTGAGAACGCAGCTCCCTTGTTGAAGAAGATCCATGCAGCAAAGCTAGCATATGGAGTCCAGGCCACCAGGAAGCCACACACCATCAGGATGCACATACGTGTCACTTCCTTCTCAGCCTTTTGGGTGGATACAGAGTCCTGCTGCTGGGCTGCGGCCTGAAAATCATCATCAGTTATTCAATATTCTTTAACATTGATAAGGTTCAAATCAACAATATAAAAAATCTCATTAGATAAAGTAACTGTCTCTTACCGCCCTCACTGTGCACACTAAATTTCCATAAGTGAAGCAGATGGTGAAGACAGGAAGACAGAATTGGCAGGTGAACGTGTACATGACGTATGATTCATTGTTGTAGCCTGGGGCCGTGGTGTAGTAGTCTGGTCCGCAGGAAACCTGAATACCCTCAGGAATGTACTTACAATAACAAAACATGCAATGTGGGATGCAACATAAGAAATGTTGATATTACATGTTGCAACCTTTCTGTGTCTAACCTTTGAGAGAAATCAGGGAAAGAATAAGAAAATAACAAACAAAACAATAGGTTTTGATGCATGCATTGTTTAAAGCAAAGACAATCACCTTAAAGTGAGACAGCCAATAAGCATCTGCAAAGGCTACAAAATGCTAACCAGATGCTAAGGTCTAATAAGTAAAACAGTGACAGCAAATGTTGGTAATGTCAGTCAGTAGCCTGTCATCAGTATTGATTAAAATCCTTGAACAGATGAACTAATTCCCTCTAGTAAGGCAATTTGTTCCCATGAGAAAAAAACAAGAGCAAATCATTTGATTTGTTTGGTAAATATGAAACTACAGTATAAAGATTGGAGTCATTTGATCCTCTGAGATGTTATTTGTGGCTGAAGTAGATTTAAGAAAGACACGCCTATACCTTGGAACCTAGCCTCACCCACTTTTGTGAAGAATCAGGAGGATGGGAATTTGGGGATTGGTTTAATGGGATGGATAGATTGCTACACCTATACAACTTTTTTCTCCAATATTTTGGAGCATTATAAATGAAGTCACATGTTTAGGCACTTTCTTTACATTTGCATGATGTTTTAACTTAATGGGTAAAAACAGATGTTTGTTTGAGCTATGCTAGTTTGAACAATAAGCATCTGTATCGACAGTCATGAATATACTTCAAGACATTTGTTTTGGTTTATGTTGTTGTTAGATTTGTTGCTTGTTTACAAACCTCCATCTGAAGATCATCTTAAACATTGTGATGAGAAAATGAAGAAAAAAAACACCCGAGCTGTGTTATGATCACCCAGTGTATACAACTGTACGCCTGCACAACTTTGGGAGTTTGCTTGGTCAAAGTTGAACCAGAGAAATATGTTGGATGTTTTCAAAAGGTAATTTGTCTGATAACCTTTACTTGTACTCGTGTTTCTTTTCTAATCCAGTGGTGTAAATAACTATTCTAGTAACAAACAGCACTACATCCCAACACCTTGGTTAAGATGTTGGTGAGTAAAATGTTTGCAGACCAAATTGGAAGAATGAACAAGATGAAAAAATAGGTTGCTAAGTAAGAGTGTGGTCAATTCTGCAATAAAAGACGTATCCATTATTTGTTCTTCCACCTCTAGTTTTGAGGAATTACCTTGACCAGCCAATGAGAGGAGGGACAGCACAGGAGGCAGCCATGATCCAGGTGAATGCACAACCTGTTCCAGCGTGGGTGGCTGAAAATTTGAAACTACCCATTGGTTTGCAGACCACAACGTATCTCTCAACAGCTAGAACCACAAGAGACCACAGAGCAACTTGACCTGTTGATAAAAGAAGGAGAACATAAGTTGTGATGAGGACCATCAAATCTTGTCATATTTTGTACTAGCTTAGTGCTGTTTTACAGCTTCCATTTAAGAAATGAAGACTTTCTTCAGTACGATAATAATGACAACGGCCAGTAAACATCCATTTTCCTTTTACCTCCAAGTGTAGCCATGAACCCCTCAATAGCACAGCTCATGGGTTCCAAAGACAAATAGCCCATCAGGGAAGAATAAAAGGTGACTGTGAATCCAAAGCAGACCATGATCAGTCCAGCCACAGCCAAGTTGACCAGGATGAAGTTGAGAGGTTGCCGGAGCTTCTTGTCCTGAGCTGTGACGAACAGTGTCAGAAAGTTGATGGGAAAGCCAGTGCCCATCAGGAAGAGCATGTAGAGAGACAGTATTTTGAATTGCCATGGCTCTGCCAAATAATACTGTGGGTACTCAAAAGGACTTGTGGTGGAAAATTTCTAGGTTAATCGGGAGGAGAGAGGTTTTGTTCTCCAACCAATAATGATTGAGTTGAAGTAATCCGTTTCATTTTGAAAAGTCAGCTTTTTAAAAACCAACATGGCTCAGTTCAAAATTTTGTTTCAAAACAAAACTCCTGCTCTCTTCTCTGATCAGATGATTTGCTACCACTACACCTCATAGTAATATTTCATTTTCAAAAAGAGAGAGACTGAAGTCTCATTTGTCACTGGATTTAAATTAATGCCTGCAGTGAATTAAAAAAAAAGTGTCCAGGTCCATCATAAGATTCAAAGTTGTCTTTTTCCGTTTATTCTCTTGCGCAAGAGGGAAGAAAGCACAGCAACCACGTATTCAGTAGACTGTGTGAAACATTCTTCGACGAAATGCAATATTCAACATCATTTATGCACACAAAGGTTCACGCCTTTACAACTTCAGATAATGCGTCAAAACGGGAGTAAAAGTATTTCAGACAAAGGATGTCTGTTAGTCAAGGTCTCTCTGTGTCTCCGTCTTACCAACAAAGAAACGGTGTACAAGATAACAAGACACCTGGATACTAAACTAATTAAAATCATCTCCTGACGTCCTCACATCGAGTAGTACATTCTTTAAACATTACACATGATACTATAACATAACCTAACTTATATACGTGGTCAAGATATCTGTATTACGATCTATACTATAACATAATTTCCCATTACAGACTCCTCACAAGCCCCGTCCGGTTGTTCATGGGGATGTAGAAGTTCTTGCCCTCTGTGCCGTTCTCCATCTTTGCAACTTAGGAGTTGGATTGGCAGAGTAAAAGTAGCTTGGAGCACTGTCAATGCAGCCTGGAGTCTGATACTGCAGCTAAGGTTATATAGCCCTCAGGGGCAGACTCACAATGGATCAAGAGGATGAGCAAGGATCTGGATAAGAATTCAACCCATAATCTATCATAATCACTTGTTGCACAGCAGAGCAGATTTAGTTTTTTAGGATGTAATGTATCACTGTAATCTCCCAAGATTTTAAGGATGCAATAGTCTTACCTGGTTTACCTGACAAATGCCTTGAAGGTCCATACATTACGTTTGAGCTTGCAATATTCAGTTTGTGGACTACCTCTGTTTTCTTGTCCTGAGCCTCAGCAGAAAGCAAAAAGTTGTTATGCTGGCATTTTTATTGAGTGTTACACATCCAAGAACCAAATTTGATGCATTGATTTGAAAGACAGCTAAAACATTACGTTAACTGGTACAGGTAGAAATGCATTGGTTAAGGATAGACCCACTGCATCGTTGTCACACCAGGTTTTGCAAATCCATGCTTGCCACGCAATCATTTTATTTAGTTGTGGCTGGTGCATGGACTTGACGCATGACCCTGATATACTGCGGTCTGCAGGTGTGGCAACTACACACAACTCCCTGTTAAACATTGTCTCATTCGTCTATGGTAACCCCTACCTAATCACTTCTGCCCCCTTCCAAAAGACAGCAGCAATCAGACAACAAATGTACTTTTAAAGCAACTCCACAAAGACATGCTTTTGTCACTGATAGTTTCACTGTACTGAGCTTTAATATCTCTGTTAAGTAATCCGGACAACCCTGGGCTGCTCCAACATGGCGTTAACAAAGTGGTTGATAGGCTGCATAACAACACTATTAAGGTTAACACAAAGTAAACGTAATAAACTCTTTTGGTTCACAATCACACACTGGTCTCTTTGCTATACTGTGATCTGAAGTTCCCGCAGTGTGATAATTAAGTCTGGTGACTGGTTACTATTAAGTCCATTACTCCATTACGCTAAAACCTATTGCTCTGGTACTGGTGACTTGCAAAAGGCATCAGTTGATTGTAAACCAGTCACTGCATAAGGTCAAAAGGCTTTTCGATGAGGACAGTGTTGTTTGAGTTTAACTAATCCAGGTAGTCCATGAAAAAACACAACCAGGTCGGACCAGAGTTTGCTTTAATAATTTATGAACTCAGATAGATAGATATAAACTCTATTTATCCCCAGGGGGAAATTAGTTTGTAGCAGCAGCAATTTACAGTAAAATAAAATATAACGTATGGAATGCACAATATATACAGTACAATAAAATAACAGAGCAGATATTGAATTTGAAGCAATAGAATAATAAAAAATAAGATAAAATAGAATAAAAAATAAAAATGCACAGTATATACAATGAATTAGAGTGGTATTAAATTAACAACTAGGTAAACTAAACAAACTGGACAGTAGCGCAAGGATCACCAACAACAAGCAACAACCGTGTAGCGTTGTTGTAGTCATTTGAAGGATGATGATCTGGGGGGAGGTGATTTATTATAGAGTGTTATTGCAGAGGGCAGGAATGTTTTTCTGTATTCAAGGCACTGAATCCAGCTAAAAACAGTGATAGTTAGCTAAAGCAACTGACGAAACCCTGTACATTTCATATTACTTCCTGTTAGTGTTTAAAAACTACAATCAATAATCTATGTTCTTAATAACCAGAAGCACATCCGTCTTAACTTCAGTGTTTCCAAAGACGCTGTTGTGACCACACTTTTACATTAAATGTAAAAGTGTAGAAAGCATGCATAATTTCATTCATTGTCTTTAACTCAGTATGAAATACAATATAGTATCATCACTATGTGGACTAACATTTCTACAGCACTGGGCCGATCCGCATGACTTTATTGTAAACAGATACTGTTAACTGTAGTTAATGAATTCAAAAGTACCTTCGGCTTCTACACCCATACTCCCTCATCTTGTTTGCAGGTCTACTCATATATAGCTAATCCATTTAGGTACGTAAATAGTGGAAAGCGATGCGGTTAGATAATGGAGATAGAGCTCTTAATTGACAAAGCAAATCAGAACCAATTACTTCATTATTACTGGCCTGTAAATCAATTAAACACTTATTCTGAAAAGTATCTCTGGCAGAGTCAGTATCCATAGCAACCAAGAGCAGTTTGAATGGTCAGATTGACTTTGCAAACAGACTTGACTTTGTTTTAATTGTTCGATGTTGTTTGAGCTATCAATTAATTAACAACCATTTATCTTTAGATTTTTAGATTTATTTAGATTTATTTATTTTGCACAATTCAAACAATAAAATTTAAAATAATCAAACATAACAGAGATAAATGAATATCACAGTGCAGGAAGAGACAGAAAGCCAACTGGGCTTATTTGAAGCCTCCACCTATATAATATTAAAATTTTACAAGATTACAAAGATAAAATTAAAAATGCATAAGCCATTACATTACAACAAAACAAAGAAAGAAAGAAAGAAAAGAAAAAGAAAAAAATAATGTAATTGTGTCAAGTGTGTGTGAGCATGTGTGTGCATGTGAGAGTAAGCATACATCTTGCTTTGTCGGTTAAGGCTATTTTCCCATACAGCCGATCTCATCTAGTCACGCTTTATACACTGTTTTTACTATTCACCTGCAAAATTCGGTTATGAAAATGAATTATTGTGAATAAATGTGAGCCTCATTTATTTTGAAACTGCATAATTATTCATATTTTAAAAACAAATGTATGTTTGAATGAGTTGACCATTTTTATATTTTCAAGATGGTTGTCAGTTTATAATGGCTCATCTATGAAATTAATTGGACTTAAATGGATTACAAACTTTTGTTTATATACAGTGACACATTCTAAATCGTCATCATTATAAGCATGTAAGTGTGCAATTTAAATGGAGGTTTTAATGTACATAAGGCTGTAATCCATTGCATTGTTGTATCGCAATATTCCCAATTTCCGAACTAAATACATCTACTCGGGAAAACAGCCTGCAGCAAACTGATGTTTATAAGTCTCTGAACTTCAACACATCCACAGAGGAGTTATATGAATGACCACAGCACCATTAGTAAAGACAATTAAAGATATAACTTTTTTAGAAAACGCCGTAAGTGTCCCATAAAGATATTCCTGTGAACCAGCATGCTAAATGGAATGCAGTTATCATTATTATTATATGTATAATAGCGTGGCACAGGAATGAGTCTTAAAACCCGGAAATGAGTCAGCATTTTTGTACTGGGGGTTCTGCCATTTTACACCCTTGTTGTGTATACTCGTGTTAATGCAGACGTGGTGTAGTTGGTTTGTATCCTAACATTAGCTTTTTCTTCTTCACGCATCAAAAATCTTAAAATTAAAAGATTATCTTGCTGATCAAAATGTGAAAGTATCATAAACTTGTGTATGCCACAGAGTGTTTGTTTACTGAAATAATCCAAAATCTAATCCCATTGGCTCAGGTCGAGGGAACCAGTGAGATATTAACTTCTAGGTTGGCCTGTACAAAGTCCCTGCAGCACTTTATACAACTGTGCTTTCCTACCATGGTTTCCTCTATGAATGTTAATGTTTATCCTGCACAGAGTGAAAACAGACTGCTCGGCCTGCAGATGCAAATTGGTATAGATGCTACTGTTACTTTTTATTGCTAATAGATCATCATCCATTAACGTCACAGAGAGTTTAAGACAGAGTTAAGTCTCTACAGCAAATGTATACATTTCATATATTAAACTTATACAATCAATATAAGGAACAATTTTATAAGGTCAGGGAAAATATAATTTCAGAAACATATTAATTTAAGGATTTGAACTGTAGTTTTTAATGTGCAAACATATCAAACTACTAAGTCATTTTGAATAAATGTATGATAGTTAATTACAATTGTAAATTCATATCTAAATAACAAAATAAAAAATCCCCAGTTTTGGAAAAACAGTAAGAGAAAAAAGTATGACTTACTTGAGCACTAATCAACTTACTTTCAGTCTACAGCTAAAAAAAGTGAATTCAATGATCCTCATCCACAAGGTATAGCAGTGTACATTTCCGCAGGTATAATATGGAGTATGGAGTTCGGATTGCCTTTATGTTTCGATTACTTTTGATGTGTAAAAAAAAAAAAACGTCTTTGAGACTACGACTGAATTAATGAATGAATATATTTATGGGTTGTTGGGTTTATTTTTTCAAGGTTAATTAATAAAATCAGTCTTCTTGACAACGAATCTGCATATGTAGAATATAAATTGATGGGGAGTTTAAAGTCATTGAAATATCTGGAGAAAAATGATAATACAACCATGGTAATGCCCTGGATGTACAAACAGGAAACCATCTGTCACACAGCTTTCATAAGTGTGCCAATTCCTGCAAGTGGGATTTCCAAGGAGCTTGTGTTTATCTGCTTAGCATCCAAAAATTGTCACTAGCAAGCTGTTAAACCGGAGGGGTTTGGCCCATTCTAATCTTCAATCCGAACAAATTGGATTCACACCTTGTACGTAATTCAGAGGCGTTGAGCAGCTTGTCTGGGAGTCAGGGCACACGTTAGCGGTGGTACCTGTCACCTTCAATTCACGTAGTCTTCAAATGTGATTACAGCAGCCACATACTAACTCCAGAGTTCAAGGACCTCAAAGTGGCCTCTGAGGCAGAAACTGAAAGTATATTTTATCATGCTCCTCTGATGATGGTAATGAGATTTATTCTGTTTAGGGGACATATAGAGGCCAATATTGCCCCTAATAAATATAGGTACAATAAAATGGAATGCTGGCTGCTCTGTTTTTGTGATTTAAAACATGCTCGTATAATTATTTAGATGTAATGGTAGATACTGAAAACAACCTACATTATGTCTCCTTGTCAGTGGCAGAACAAGTATTCTAAAAGCACAAGCATCAGAATATATAAAAAATAAAAAGTTAAAGTATTTATTATAGTCT